CTTTATTTTAATGTAAAAATAAAAATTATTTCTTATTAAAATTATAAATTTTAATATAGAGAGAAAATTTCAATTTTCATTATGTTTTATTAGTAAATTTAGCCCCTGAGTCATTACTTTTGGTCGCCACTGTATATATTTTAATATCTACAAAAAAAGTTTATTTAAAATTATTTATTAATGAATATTAATATTATTTTTTTTAGAAAAATTATATATATGTATATTACAAAAGTTTAAATTTATTAATAAATTGACAAGAGATTATTACTATTAATCTGTAATATTAAAAAAGTTTTTGGTAATTAATTATTATAAAAAATTGATTTTATCAAAAATTAATACTAAAAAAAAATTATCATTTTGTAAATAGATATTTAATAATTCAATTCAGAAATAAATATTATTATATAGTTTAACTTTACTAAATAAATCGAATTATAATATTAAATTATTAAATTATAAAATAAAAATTAGTATTATTATTATTTTTAGAGAAAAAATTTCCAAAGTTATAAAATTTATAATATTAAATATAAAGGTAATATAAGAATATTATAATATAGAGAATTAGAATTTGTATTATTCTTTATATTTTAAAACTTTTATTATATTTACAATAAATTAGAAGGATATAATTAATTACTTATAACTTTTACACACACACACACACACACACACACATATATCCTCCGACTTTTTACAGTCGCAGAGGAACAAATTATTTATAAAAACAATTTTATTGTATATCGAAAGCTTTCCATATATTAATCGTATATTTTGATCAAAATTATGAGTTAATTCCAATCAAAATTTTCCTGATACAAACTTGAAAGGATGATTTTCGTATACGTGATGATGTCATCACATGATAAGTATTTAATTAAAGATTAGAGTTAGGATTACGTATATGAAAAATTTAAGTTAGAACACAAAAAAGATGGTTTCATAGGGTGGAATTTCGATACTTGGAAAATCTCACCTACATCAATTTTGTGATACATTGTATAAAAGAGAAACTCCAAACATTGAATGAGGTTGAACATCCACCATAGATGGATTTCTATATTCTTTTATGTACATGCATGATAACGATCCAAATAAAGCAATCTAAGAAAAGAACAGACATCACAAAATTTCTGCAAAAATTCTGAAACACTTGCGTAAAGTTAAAAACGACTCCTATTAAGCTAGCCAATCTTATACATAAGGTTGCCATATTAGTTAAGTTTATGACAATCATTATTTGAGAAGTAATTCAAGCAGTTATGGCAAATTATAGCTCGCCCACAAATTATAAAAATTTCTTAACTGATAATTATTCTTTTAAAGTTTCTTGTTAAGAAATTTATTATAATTTTTTATTTTCACGCGAAATGCAAAATAATGTACAAAAAATCCTTTAATCGTATATAATGTCAAGGACGTTATAATCCGTAACATCATCACTAAAATGTATTTTACCATGAATCGTAATAAACACATAATGTTTGTTGAATTTCCGGAAGCAATAAGAATTGGTTGAACTTGATAGTCTCGTTCTTTAATTGGTCGAGCATCGCCTGTAATTTTATAACTGTCCTCGTCATTATCCATTAAGGTGTCGACAGATTCTAATTCTTTAATGAGTATAAATTCTTCGCAAACGATATATTGAAGCTATTGAATTCCTGAAGCAGAGAATACTTCTACACGTAATGTAAAGCAATGTTAGCAGCTGTGTTACCAATCATGCCAAATTGGCAAAACATAAAAAACCCATAAAATATTTTGACAGCCGCATAGAGCACGACAAAAAGTTCTTGCGCGCTTACTACTAAAAGTGGACACGGAAAAGCACAAAATAGTCTAACTTATTCATACTATTGTCATGTCTGGTGCACGAAATTTGTCGCTGAAACAACTTTGCATGTTCATTTTATGCGTTTTCACGTAATTTCCCTGTTTAAAAAAAGAATTTAGAACTTTTTCTGATGGGAATACAAAGCTTAATTTTTGTGATTTACAAATGTATAACGATAAGGATTTTCTTGTTCGTTCCAAGAATAGTGAAAGTTTGAAATATTATCCATTGTACATATTTTTAGGTTATATAGCTTATTAATTGTACCCAAGTTTTAAAATACTCTAACAAAAAATCAAAACATTACCGCATCGATCAGATTAGATGAATTAAAAATTTGAGCTTTAAATTTCTTTTCCCATTGTCTGTTTCATGTAAATCTTTTTGTGTGAAATCAATGGTTAATTAATCTTCCACATAAAGTAACTAGATTTCTTTGATGGCTAAATTCGTTGCTTGCATGTTTATTTTTGAAACATGCAAGTACAGTACCCTTAAAAAACGGTGAGAAAAACATCAGATAACCGTTACACAAATTCTAAAGAATAGAAATTCGTAATTTTCTCCGACAAAATATAGTGAGACTTGTTACACAAGTCTTTGTCGGTTTCGAACACGAATTTATTGTTACTTTAAAGACAATGGATAAGTTAATGTCCGCCGAACATTAAGAAAACGAATAAAATAATTATATAAAGACCGAATATTACATGCGATTCCTGGATTCTTTTTTCCGGATGCAAAAATACAAAGGTTGTATATAGCACGACATTAATAGCATTTCACGTCGTTTCTTCGTATTAAGCAAATTTTGTTTCGAAATACAGCATAAATCAGCTGGAAGATTAAGTTCATTAATTTTTAATTTTTATCTTTGTTTCAGAAGTTTTATGGACAATATTTATCGTTTGACTAAGAACATAACTTTTTTCATTGTTCTTAATGAATAATAACTTATGGGCAACAAAACAACGTTCACGCCACAAAGAAATTTCAACCAGTATTAACTGGTTGAAAATTGTTAAGCGCCACAATAAACCACTGATGGTTGCAAATCGAACATTATTCCTAAAATTTATAGAATCAAATAGGTCAAATAGAATAATTGCAAAGAGTGATTTAAAAAAAATAAATCTAGCAATTGATTATAACCAAAAACTTTATTATAAAAATCATTTTATTTAATAATAAATAATAATTTAAAATAGGTATGAATATAAAAGATTTGTTTATACATATAGATTCTATTTTGTATTCTCATATATATATAATTGCTTATATTAATAATACTTGATGTTTAATTATTCAATTGCTAGATAATAAAATTTACTTTAATTATATAATATTAATAGATTTATTTATTAAATTGCTAGATAATAAAATTTACTTTAGTTATATAATATTAATATCCATTATTGGATTTATTTTTATTACTTTTATATAATAATTTTATAGTTAAATTTCTTGATTTAAAATCAAATTAATAAATATATAAATAAAGTATTATTTTTAAATCAAATAAATGTATAGATATTGAGTTAATTGTATTGCAATTATTACAAGAAATATAGTTGTACTTAAGAAATAATATTTTTATATTAAATACTTTAAATCAAATAAACGATATTGAATTAATTGTCTTGCAATTATTATTATTAATTCATTAAGAAATAATATTTTTATACTAAAATAAAATAACTATTTTTTCTATTAGTTATATTATAGTAATCAATTATTCAAAATTTCGCAAATTTTTATATATTTTTAAAAGATTAATTTGAATTTTGTTATTTGTCGTACTATCATAATCTTTCTTATATTTGGAATTGAATACAAATTTTTGAGTAATCTATTTAATCGGATAATATATTTAATTGATTTTTAGAAATGTATGCTAGAGAATAGATTAGCTTAATTTCCTGAGATTTAACGTTAATAATTGAAAAAAAATGGGTTTTTTCTATTTAATCCAAGCCGATTATATTTAGAAACTGCAGGTGAAATTAAAAAATTAAAAAATATTCACATGTTATAATTCAGATTCGAGCAACCAAATAAGAAAGCAATTCAACATCAAGATATTTAGTAAACAACGGTATCGTGGCGCATAGCGATTGTTTTCCGCGGAAGAAACAAATGTTTCGAGTTCTTCGTTTAGTCAACAAAAAGTCTGCAATTCTATGGCTTTGGATTTTGTGCTATGTCGAAAGTCTTTGTATGACAAAATTAAGAGAAAAAGGAAAAGTATGCAGTACAACTGATTCCGCGACTGTTTATTATGTCCTCTGATATAACTCATTGTTATTGATAAACATAGATCGGGATGACAAAAAGAGAAAGACATAATGAAAAGAATGAAAACGAAGCAGCAGGATTGCTCTTGGGCATTTGATTATCGGTGGCATCATAATCATCAAGTATGTGCATATTGTGACCAGCAAAACAGCTGCTATGTGGATGTTCTCATTGTGAAAAATAATTTAGTATGCTGAATGACCGATAGTATACCTAATAACCTTTCTTCTTCATTTTAGATTTCTTATGAAATCGCCTGAAACAATGTGAGATTACGTAATCCTACCATTTCTCATCATCAACATAATCATCATCATTGTGCTATGCAGCGAAAGAAATATTTTTTAAATAAAAAAAAAAATAAAAAACAAGAATAACGTACGGTACTTCTCCATTTCATTCAAGGTATTGTTAAGATGTATGCATATTCATGTATAGGCATGCATAAAAAAATGAGCGGATTGATGTTCTATTTAGAAGAAGACTAAAATTAAGGTTTAAATTAATATTATAATATATATAAAAATACCATGTATACCGGCTCAATCCTAAAGTTAAAGTATATAGATATATATATATATATTTAAAGAAAAAATTAAAATAAATCACGAGTACCGTATTTCCCTGTTTTTCAAGTTACTCGATATTCTTTTTGATTCCACGCTATCGAACTGGATATAACTGGTTTGATTTTAAAATGAAGAATAAGAGCTTTTCTTTGCACTTTTGTTTATTTTTTATCTCCTTATGCGCGTCAGTTTTAAACTTTTTTTGATTGCATGAAATAAAACCCTTTTCCGAAGATTTAATTATCTTGGACGTTTTCTTTCTCCGTAGATCCCCGGGGTTAGAAAGAATAAAAGTCTCTTTGAATTCGACATAATCACCAAGACATTGGTTGTTGAATTCAATTCCCGAACAAGAATTAATGAATCAGTAGAAAACAATCAAAATTAACCGCTTATACCTTGCTTAAATTTTCAATACATTGTTTCTAAAAAAAATTTAGGAAAAAGAGATGAACACGCGCACGTTTTTTTTTACCTGGCGTTTTGTTTTACTCTACAGGAAGGTATGCTACCTTAAAGTTCTAGATGCCTTAGGTCACAAGTTATTATCATGTTTCAGATTAGCCATGCATCTTCGACAATAATAGTTTTAGGCGAGGATTATTTGTACACGTAACCCACAACAGTAAACATATTTATCTCAACTCTTCACTGTATGCATGCATAAAGCATGTATAGCTTTTTCTTCTTTGGAGTTGATGTCTCGCTATACACATGTATTTATGCGTATAAAAAAAAGACTAAAATAGAATTTCAATTTATTTTTGGATTTTTCATTAGCTATGCAAGGCCCATAAATATAAATTTAAGCCTGATTTCACCTATATTTTGAGTTATGATGATTTATTTATTTCTGAATGCATTTTGTGCACAGTGTACAAGAGACACGCGCACGTACAATGAGAACCTATCTTTTTGTGGGCTGATTAAAAAGGGGATGAAGATAGATATGATTCGTTTTTGATCATTTATATCATGCGGAACAATTCGTTTGCTACATTTTTTGCCGCCAGGTCCACGGAAAAATTCGACTAGTGAACACTGAGGACATGATCCTGAAACTTTTAATAAAAAGCACGTTTTATGAGAACTAATTTTTCCCGAGTCCTAACCATGGGCCCATGGGTTTTAGGTTTTATTTTTTTTTTTTTAATGATGATCAGGGTTAATTATAATAACTCGGGTATCACGCAATGAAAAATTAATGTGGTGCTGCACACGCTCGCCAACATTATACATTCACACATAATCACCCGAAATTAACAGGTAGATGATATGCATATAATATGTAAAAGTGCATTAATTTCTTACTTTGACGCATAAATGGCAACCATAAAAAAAACCAATAGTTGATGATCTAAATTATTATAATTATGAATTAATGTGATTGCTATATTTAATTTATTAATTGGTATATTATCAAATATTGGCGAACACCAACGATCTGTTGTTGCGCAAATTTAATAGAAACATTGTAATTTAAATCTCTAAAACCACACACAACTTATTGAACGGGATAATGTAAGATGTCCATTTCTTCGAATTGATAATGTCCACGCGAGTTTAATCCTTGTTTCGGTAAAGTTTAAATAACTATGCATGGTGTCTCAGAGTTTATTTGTACGTTGCCGTTACCGATATTTTTTATCATCATTATGGGATGTGGGAGGCTTGTAATCTGATGAGACGTGAAAAATCGTGTTATCCATCCCCTTTTCGGTAAATGTTAATTTCTGCACAATAAGTTAAAGTCAAGTGACGTACGTCTATTTGATAAATACATGTATGCTGTAAAACTAGAACATTGTAAGAAGGAGCACATCACTGCATCAATAAGACATTACTAGACAAGGGTATATAATATTTATGTTAAAAAGAAAAAAAAAAACTAAATTAGGATCTAAAAATTAGTATAGTTTGTTGATATTTGTGGGTTGGCGGTTTTTCTAAAATGCATTGACGAAAATGAACTCTCGCCATTTTAAATGTATAAAAAATAAATAAATGCATAAATATCCGATAATGTTCTTTTTTTTCTTCATTCTGTATATTATCTGACTAAACTTTTATTAGAAACGATGGTCGCATATGCATATGTTGTGGGAGGTTAGGTAAAAAGTCCACTCAATGGTTGATTAATGGTTGATACCAACATAAGAGTTATGTGAAAATTATTTTTATATATATATAAATTCCTGTTGTTTATATATTACTTTATATAGATAATAGAAAAACTGGATCTGCATGCAGCCAAACAAGTTGAAAATAACGATAAAACAATAACAACGATAAAAGCAACAACAAAGATTACTACTGTAACTTACTGTAAAATGCACATAAAAAAAATTGAAGTTATGTTTAAAGAAAAGAAGAAATTAGTGAAAAAATCCACAGATAAAAGGAGAGGGTGAAGACGTTCCCCAACAAATTTTTCATCAATCGATTGATTCTAATCATTTGATATTAAATAAAGTTGGAAAAATCTATCAGAATTAGATAGAACATCCCACAAACGTAATAAATCTATCTGTGTGCTCTACAAAATAAAATTTGTACACCACAACACAGCAAGCAAGCCCTTTATCTCACCCCGTCATATAAATATATATATATAAAGTCATACTCTTTCGAGTAAAAAAGTGGTAAATTTTTTTTTGATTTTTGAATTTTTCTCTGGTGACTCTTTTCTTTCCCTTTCAAAACGCATACCATATTTAGTTTGGTTGTCTTTATTTTTCTTTTCTAATCTCTTCATCCTTCCTTTTTACAATTTTTTTTTTTTTTTACCCACACATAAAAAAGAGCAGAGAAAAATAAAAATGTCTTTACTACAAAAATTTGGAACCCTTCGTGAAAGAACATCACGAAAGAGTGAATTGGTGACTAGTATTCATCAACCAAACACAACAACACCAATAACACCCACAGCAACAACCACAGAACAATCAAAAACAACACCAAAATTTAAACTCAGCAAAAAACTCCACATTCCATTCTTCAACAACACTGCAAAAACGGCGCCAGCAAAAGAATCATCAAACGCCACACTTCACACGTCGTCTCCATCATCAAATAGCAGCACCACATTAGTAAATGATTTTGATGATAAAGCTTCAACAAAAACGAATATATCAACAACATCATCAAAGAAGAATAACAGTCTTCACCAACGTCGTCAAACAATCATTCATCGTATTGATAACGGCTGTCGACGAAACACTATTTGGTCGGATACAGTTGACACAGAATTGGCCAACAATTTGTCTCCTTTAGAATTGAACCGCCAAGAAGTTTTATTCGAAATAATAAAAACAGAAGCAGAGTAAGTTCTCTTTTTTTTTCCTTTGACTTTTTTTTACTATTCTCACAACATTGGTTATTCGGGATTTTCCTTTTTTTTATCCGCCATCCCTCGATAAAATAAAATGGCATTTCATTTTTTTCCCATTAATGGGAAAAACCCCTCTTTCTTCGATTCGTTAGTTTCGATTTCATTTCGTAGTACCTTGTTTTTCATCCATATAGCGCATGATCATATGGTGCTTTGATATGTTTCACCAATCGATCCACCGCTAAGCATACACACAATTCTCCCCTGTACCACAGTTCACTGCCTCACCATTAGAATATTTCTCATATTCCCCCTGAGAATATATTCAAAATTTTTTATTCTCTATAGAATTTCCATTCTCGAGAACCAATTGCTTTTTCTCAATGTTACATTAATTTCCGCTTATATACTTGATGTGCAAACATACTTGTACATGACATTGCATTACATAAACATTTGACTAATTCACGTGACTCGTCCAACCATTTAGGTATGTAAAGGATCTTCGATTAATTGAAGAACTTTTCATTCAACCAATCAAAGCGGCCGAGGCTAAATCCAACAAGACAATGGTCCCGGATAATCTTAATAAAGTCTTTAATGCCATTTCATATTTCCTATTCATCCATGAAGTCATCAGCAATGTGAGTTGATCCTTTATCTGATCTCATGTCGTACATATCTCAAAAGAATATTATTAATAATACTAATTAATTATTGATTGATTTATATCACGTAGTGCTTAAATGAACGTCAAGAAAATGAGGCACCATTAGTACGAAGCATCTCTGATATCCTTTTAGCCTATGTTTGGATCTTCCGTGCGTATGCACCATATCTCATCCACTATGAGGAAGCTTTACGAGAGCTCAACGAAAGTCTACGACGAAAGGATAAATTAGGAAAATTAGTCAAAAAACAGCAAAAAATACCATCATGCCGCAATATGCCGTTGACAACATACTTATTAAAGCCATTCCAACGTCTTCTCAAATATCCGCTCTTGATTCAAAATCTGCTCAAATACACTGTCAAAGACTTAGGGAACGACTATGAAAACACCGTTAACCTGAAAACAACACTCGACTCTGTTCTTCAGGATGTCGAAGAACAAAAACGAGCACATGAGAACAAGGAACGTCTTCGTTCTCTCGAATCAAGAATTCATGGATTATCCGGATTCCGTTTGGCAGTTGATAATCGACAATTATTACGAGAAGAACCAGCTTTTCAATACGTAACACTCGTAAAGAAACCATCACTTCGTAAATCTTTGACTGTCCTGTCATCACCGTCAGCAAATCCTAGACGTCATTCAGTACGAAATCTTTATGCATTAGAGTGTAATGATATTGTATTGTTGGCAGAGAAGACTGGGGTGAACCGTAACGGCGACGCAATCTATCGACTGATTTCACATCCACCTAGTTCACCTTTGGATGAAGAGCCAGTGATCATTCATAAAGCATCGGATTCTGGAGTTTTTTACGACAATTAGTCGATCAAAAAAAAAATCAAAAAAAATCGTGGACATAAGTGATTCGTCTTTATTGCCTACAAAAATTCTATATTAATATTATCTATTATTTAATTGGCAAGACGACTCATTACAATGGACCCTTTATCATTTTCATATAACTCCATCCTTATTCATCATATATATATACATATATATATTATTATTATAATACTTGTATTTCATATATATAATAATCCCGCAGGCGGGCACATAAAATCACCCGTCTGTCTTGTAAATTTAATCTTTTCAAATATCCCCTTACCCCCAATTAATAATCCACACAAAAATATTATCTACCTTTCTTCAAGTTATATATAGCTCGTCGTTTCTCCTGCTCCGCCGATGTTCTTTATATCGGCAACATTCTTGCTCTTTGAACCTCATCCGAGAAGCATTGATTTTTTATTGCGATGGTGTGGTGGTGTGAAAAAATTCATTTTTTTTTCTTAAATAGATTTGTGAATATAGAGTTTTTTCCTTAATTAATTATCCATTCTACATAATATATTCAGATCTCTCAACTACCTGTGTGATCTTTTTTGCAGAGTAGTAATTTATTTGTTGCACTGTTGATTTCTCTTTCCCATTTCTTATTTTCATATTGGTTATCAAATTTATCAGGACATTTATTTAGACACAAAATTTTATTTTTTTAGAATTATAATTAGATTTTATCATACATTATTCATCATCATCATCATTTTTTATTATTTTTTATCCCACATATTCACCAATTAATTTTCTACACCACCGCACTCGATCGCAATTTGAAATCTAGACGAGCACTTTTCAATTCAATTGATCGTATTCGCTCTATGAGATACGATAAGACTTGTTTGAAAGCTCACATTCAAGCGCATTACTACAGACCTTTTCCCTTCTATATATACTAATCAGAGATTAGTGACCTCTCAATCTCTGTTCGCATTATTCATGATCTCATTTGAAGAACAACAATAACAACAAACAATACGTACATTAAATAACGAACGGATGTCAATTCAATCCCTCCCGCTCTCACCGGCCATCCGTCCTCATTCTCGATCTTCTATTGCTCCAATCATTTGACAATGTATTGTAATCATCCGCATGATACCAGATACTCATCGACCAAACTGAAACTGAAACGAAAACGCAAACCTTCCTTAATTTTCGAATAATTCATTCTTTTTTAAATTACCCTTACGCACTAAATTTACAATTACAAACCATACACATTAAGTTGTTTAAATCCTCTTTTTTCTATGCAATCCTATGTTCAAATTACATTCATTTCATTCATTTTCATTTTCCAAATCCATTCACTTTCATCAATTTTATATGGAAAACATCAGTTCATCCACCTCTCGCTTTTTGGTTGACCTTTTGTTTTGATTATGTACCAACAATATCATTGATATCCACTTCATATTCACCACAAAACAAACACTTACTACTATTTACCACCCTTCTTGTATGATATCCACCATTCTTTTTCTATAGATTTAATTATCATTTTTCCGATTTCCGAACTCAAAGGTTTTACGCGTTCCGTCAAAGTTTCACGTGAGGTTGGTTCAAAATGTTCTTACGGTGTTAAAAAACGGTGTTAATTCAGGATCTGGGTTCATCAACATCTGCGTGTATGATTCGGAGCTGAGGGTAGCATATACGCACGCATCTACATTTATTTATATCGGGTCGACGTACAAGACGTCACCGAATCAAAGAAATTGTATATTTTTTTTCTTTTGTAAAATTGGGATTTTTCAGTATCATTTGGGTTCTTATTCTGTTCTGTTCTTTTTTGTTCTGTTCTGTTTGTTCTATTGTTCTGTTCTTTTTTGCTCTGATTTTTGGGAAATAGTAGATTCATGTATATCAGTAGTGATTTATTTGACACGAAAAGCATGTAAAAAAATAGTGTGAGCATATTAATACCATTGAATTCAAATAAAAAGAGCATACATGAATACCGCGTAACACATTTTGGAACAAATAGACATTCTCATGTTATCGTTATATTATAATGCAGTTGGTTAGCTTTCCAGTTCACGGCATTTCAAAAATAACAATGCTGGAAACTAAGTACATGTGCTATGAACCGTGTTTTTTTCTCGTTGTTCTATGTTAACAAAGACAAAGCATTCATTATTTGGACATGGAATGTATGCTGCACTGCAACCATATGTATTCGTTTTCGACGAATCATGGAAATAAAAATATCAAATTCACGCACAATCATACTCTGTAGTTAATTGTCAAGTTTTCGGCATGTCGAGAAGAGACCTGTGCACTTCTCTGCTTCGGTATTATGCAAATTACTTGCGGATCAAGTTAATAACTCGGAATTCTGCTAAAATTTTTTTGCAAGAATATCGTGAAACTGCATTTGTCGGTTGTGACGGTAAGTCAATAGTTTAACGTTTAGCAGCAATAGTCTACAACAGTTCTGGTTGGGTAAGGCAGTTCTGCAAGAGAAGAATGCGCATGTTGAGAAGGAATTCATTCTTTGCATTGTAATCAGTCTGATGTGCATGCATTATCATTTGATCCCAATGATGCTGTCGGTGCTCTTTCAATTATTCATGAGCTTGAAATCACGTTGAAAAAATGGGAAATGACTCTGATAATTAGTTCCTAAATTCTTTTCCGATAAACACAACCTTTATTCTAGAATTTGCTTCTTATCATAAATACATGTATCAAGTGATGAAGTCTATCGCTATTATCGTTATTGACCTTTATGGATCTTTGGTATAAATGGTGCAATCAAATCGCAAGATATAGCATTTCGATTATGGTAAGGGTTAGTTAGACAATGAAGTTAGAAGAAAGTTTTTAGTAAAATTTCGTAAAGGAACATTTTTTGGTTAGAACACAGAAAGTGGTTTCGAGAGCATGCTATTTTTCAAAAATTAACCTTATAAATCACATGAACCGGAGATTTGTTTCGCCATGGCTACAATGTTGTTCACAGTGAATATACACTTTTTTATGTTCACATTTATTTCGTGTTCATAATCAATATGACTATATGATCTAATAAAATTTGGTAAGGTAATTAAGTAATGTAATTTATTGCTGCTAAATTTATGCAAGAAATAAATCATTCAAATATTAAATGCATTCATAATTCCAAATTGATTACTTGCTTCCTTGTTGCATTTTTCCTACACAATTTTTGATGTATATTAGAATTTAATAATTTAATATTCTGAGTAAAAAATGTCATGTTCACAAATCAACAAATAAAAAATTGGATTTTCAACACGGGTACTCCAAAGTGAATATGCCGCCGAATCCGATGGTTTGCTCTCTCGCTCGCCACTGTGCTAGAAAATCTGTAAGTGTACCCGATAATTATATTGCATGTATTCGGTTCGCTATCTCTTATCTCTCCTACGCTCATCTTTTAGTTGTTTATTCGAATTTTTACTCAAGGTAACTAACTGCCACTTAGAGTTGGGTGCCGAAATCTTTTTGGCCAACCCGAAATATTTCGGGTTTCGGCAATGCCGAAACAAAATGTTACCGAAACCCTAAATTAATGCCGTAATCCTAAATGTTTCCCGAACCCGAAATATATTTTTCATATCCTAAATATCTGCCGATATCCTTAAATTAATGCCGTAATCCTAAATGTCTCCCGAAATCCAAAATATATTTTTCATATCCTAAATACATACCGATATCCCTAATTAAATATAAGACGGCTATGGATACCAGACATGGTAACTTTTCGCTGTCTTGTTACAACAAAGGAAGTTCCTTAAACATTGTTCACCTTAGATCGCGAAATGCATCGAACCAATGGCGAAGAGGAGCTAGGAAGTGGAACGTCTACCATACAAGTACGAAAGGTTTAGCTTTCTTTTACATAGGTCATCAGCGAGAGATTGCACTTTGGCGACGAGACTGAAAATTTTGATTTGGCCAGCATTAAGAAATGATGATATATTAATCATGACATAATGTTAAAAAGCATTCTTATAATTCTGGCCTGCAATCTCATTTATTATGACTCATTATTCAATTATGACTAATGGCTGACTTCAAAACAAAGATTGCAGTGAGCGATGCGTTATCCTCGTCTGAAACAGTTATGGACACTAGAAGCGGTAGCTTAGCTTTTTTGTCTAAAACAAGGGAAAGGAAGTTTCTGAAATATATTCTTTACCTTTGATCTGGAAGCGTATCGAAATTCTCGCAAAGGCAAACAAGGCTTCTTTCTTTTACATATATAGATTTTTAGAACGATCGAATCCTTTTTCCAACCATCAATGGCGAGCCGAAACCAATGGAAATAAAGATACAAGGAGCCATAATTATAATAGCTGCAGTGTGGGACGCCCTCTTATGTTTATATACCATGAACCGGAAGAAGTTCCGGAACAAGAAGTCCAAGTTCAGCTACCAGACCTTCCTACACCTGCATTTGGAGCAAATTGCCCCGATCTTGGCGTCCAATGTCAACATGCGTCCGACAACGATAAGCCTGTTGTGGAAACAGAGTCATCAAAAAATAATCAGTGTGTCGTTCGGAGCTTCAATTACGGCTCCTCAGTCAAAGAAAAGTCATGATTCAATTTCGACAGGATATCGACCACCGGCTTTTCCCTGGAGACCGGGATGGGAACATCTTTCCGAGTCTGGAGAACTGGAAAGTTGGGAACTGTGCGGAAGTAAATCCGTGGTCTCATCTAGCCGGATTGAGGCCCGATCTTCCAATCAGAACTCGTACGATCTCGGTCCTGAGCAGAACGGTGAAACACCCTTGCAAAAACTGCCAGAAGTGCCACGTCAGCTTCTTGACTTGTTGAAGGATGATCGCTTTGGGTTCCATGAAATTACGAGTGAAGATTCGTTAGACGAAGTATGGCATGCAGACATCTTGAGTACTTCTCTAGAAGATTCGGTATCACCAATCCTCGCCCTGTGTTTTTGGACCATTCCGGCTTTGTTGTTTGGATGGTAGACGAAAATGGCCCCATGTTTGAATGGAACGAAATGGAAAAAGATATTTTGTATATGGGACCCGATCTGGTAACAGGTCTAAAGAACTACCTTTTTATCCTGATAATATACTCTGCATCTTGGCGAATGGTAAAATGATATCCGAGAAGGAACTTGTCCAACTTGTAAAACAAGATGTGGAGAGGATTTTGGCAGAGCCATGGAAGTGTTAGTGGTCGGGAAGGGGAAAAAGAAGGGGCAAGGAAAGGAGAAGAAAAAAGGAATAGGAGATCGAAGAAGCAGAATAAATAGTCATGAAAAAATATTATATATCTGTGAATTTGGGGTCTAAAATTTAATTTCTAATTTAGTTGTCCATGCACACCCTCAATTAAAAATAACGATAAATTGATTTATTTATTCTCCCATGCTTCGATGCTTCAATAATTATTCAATACATATATAAAAATCTTGGACCTAGCACGACTGCATGGGAGGGAAAACTGGTGCACCAGTGGAAGTGCTTTGCCCGAAGGTGATGACTACCTCCTATTCTCTCGTCCCGCTAGGTCCAGCACTATCACTATTTTCCTCCTCTTCTGTATCTAACTCTCGCTCATTATCAACCCATAGCCTAATAAATTCTATGGTTTCATCTGCGGGATTACGGGTTAAACGTTTGTGAAATTTCCGGATAGTCGCATGGAATACATTGATGACTCGGTTCGTTTCTCTAGTCGACATTTTTCTTTGAATAGGCGATCGAAATCTTGCCAGAGTTTGAATATCGCCGGTATAATCTTGAGGCGTTCTATTAGGCCCGGACCGTCGACAACCGGAATTACTGTCGCGACTGCCAACACCATTTTTGATGTCGCGAACTTCGTAGCCCATCAGGCTTATATTGCGGTCGAGCTCGTTGATTTTTGTAGCAATTCGGCATTAGCGCTTGAGTTTCGCCGTAATCTTTTGATAGCAGACAATTCTGCTTTTCCACTCTTCGAGTATTTAGGTATAATACTAGTGATTGGACTAGCATGAACGCGATGAGCACGAAAAAATCTGAATTATTTGAGAACATTTCCACGGTGTAATATAATTTATGCGATTTCGCACCAACGAGTTATTAGATTTGCGTTTTGCGTTGTATTGTAAATTGTTTTAAGGACGAACCTGTGGATATCATTTGCGAAATTGACGGTTTATAGAGCTCATGGAATTGGAATCTAGTTAGCTCGTCAATGACAATTTGATAAACTCAAAAAAATATTTTTTATTTTATCAGAAGATTTTTAAGCACATTTTAAAAATATAATTTTAACTTTGTAATTCGAAAGAAGCATAGTGCAAGGAATTGGATGTATGTTAGGATACCTGATTATGTTTCCCAAAGAGGGTTTTTTATGTGCCATTTATAAGCAGAATCTGCTACGCAAAAACAGAAATGTCAATTAATACTATCATTGGTTTTATTCATTGTTAACACCTAATACAATATCGATATCATTGTGTGAAATCGCTAGTCTCAACTTTTATTTTTTTGGGAACTAAATTTTCTTAGAGAACCAAATAAAGAGGATAAAGAAATGCTGTTTTCGTATCAAACAAAATCTTTGGTCTAACGCACTGCCACATCATACAGCAAAGTCATTTTCCGTTCTTCTCTTCTTTTATAATCATCATAGTGAGTGATATAGATACTACAGTTTACGTTAGAGGTCGAGTCTGTTAAATGGACTAAGACAGAATTGATCGAAGAAATCACCTGCTATTGCCAGTGAAGGAAAAGAAAACCGGAACCTCCGATTATGTCTGATAGGAAAAAAGAAAACGATCATTATTTACTGTAAGAATGTGTCAAAGAAACCAGCCAAATTCAAGGTATTTCTTTAAAGGTTATTTCATTGATTTTTTTAGCGATTATTTTCGTTTTAAATACAATATTTTACTGTATACGATGTTCTTTTTGGATACAAAAATCGACATGTCTAAAATCCCGACATATCAAAATCCCCAACATCCTGACACTCAAAATCTCGTAAATTGCGGCTATAGTACCCCTTCCTGTAAAAAATTTAAAATAATTTTAACCTCGAGGCTAGTAAATTAGTAACTGAAAATTTCGCTGTGAAACAAATATTTAGTTCTACTAAAAAAAGTCGGATTAATTGAGGTTTAAATTTTTTACAGAGGACTATAGACCGCGATTTACGGTACCTAAATCCATGAATTCTGAATTTCGGAGTTTTTACTTTTAATATTAAATTTTATATTTTATCGTAGTTTAAATTAATTTAACATATTTGTATTGAGCCAGCACAACATGTTCTAAAAATAAAAGTACAGGATCTTTAATGAGTAATGTAATAGATATTGGAATTTGTATAATTGGAAATTGTCATGGCAACTTTCAAATTACAAGGCAAACTCGATAAGACGAAGGTCGAGGGCAGAGACAATTTATTCGGCTTATTAAGATTTTCGTTTTACCAAATTTCGCACAAAGCCGAATTTATATAATAAAAAATTTGGTAAACCAGAAAAATTTTGGCTTAATGCAATTTCAGCTTAGCGTGACTTCGTCTTAACGAGTATTAAAACTACATTAAAACCTTATCGATATATGTTAGCATTAGTTTACTGCAAATGCATAATTTGCAGAATCCATATCGTTTATAATGTGATTTGATTTTAAAATTTACATTATAAAATAATCTACGCGAAATTTTAAGCAATTACATGCTTACAAAAATATTTTAGCTGATCAAAAGAATCTATTAAGACTAAAATTTTTTATATTTTAATAAATTTGTTAATTTTTAATTATATATGTTTATTTAAATAAAAAAACCGGATGATAAAAAAGATTAAAAATTCGGTAACTTTGAGACGCGATAAACAGTCCCGAAAAAAGCAATTCGACTCTTATAGATTAGACAATCGAATGTTCCTATTTTTATTCAAGCTGGACTGTCGGACGTCGAGATATCGCGTCCCAAAGTTACCGAATTTTTTATTTTTAAATCTGATTATAATGATCTAGACGTTTTCGGTTAACAGAATTTGCAGAATTTAAATAATATTAGTGTAGAACTACTTAATTTTGTAATGTCGAGATTTTGGGGCGTCAGGATGTTGGACGTCGGGATATTGGGCATGTCGGGATGTTGTTACCAGATCCTAATAAAAATGTGGTATAAATAATGATAAAGGATGTTTTATAAAAATTAAAATTAAAAATATCACTTAAATCAAATCATCAAAAGAACATTTGGAAAAAAGTCCGGTTTGGTTCAAATTCGTATCAGATTTGAACTCGAATCTGGATTTGAATTCGAATCCAGCTTAAAAGCTTCGTTCAATTTAGTAATTCTAATTAAGATTACCATTTTGCTTATATCGATATAGTCAAAATTATAAGTAATTGATTCTTCATAACTTTCAAGAATCAAATGAAATTTTCTGAATATAAAGAAAATTGATCATAATAACTTTTATAAATTAATACAAAATTTATATATATTATAGATCATCAATAAGCTTTTATATTAAAAAATATCTTTACAATATGAATTATCAGTATCTGATTTCTTCTTTCTTAACAAATTAATAAACTCTTATAATAAATTTTTATATATAATACTTTGATATTTATAATTTATTCCTGAAATTTAGTAATTTACTTTGAGAAAAAAATTTTAATTAAATTTACTTACAGTCAACACGAAAAGTAATGGCGGTCATGTTTTTCGCCTATAACTTAATAAGAAATTGCTAAAAATTTACAAAAATTTGGCATTATATTCTTTAGGCTGACGGAAACAATATTTTCTAAGGTCATAAAGCATATTAACATAGTAATATTTTGTGAAATCACGTGTTAAAGGTGGTAGGCTGGGGGCTATCCTGGTTAAGAAGCTATAAAAAATTATTTAAAAATATTTTTTATAAGCAAGTATGAAAAT